CTGATAATGTTTGAGTTATGGTTTTGTTTAAGATACAAACACCAATCGACTGTGTAACTGCCATCTACACAGTGTTGTCACGTAGGCGTGGGCATGTCACATCTGATGTTCCTCAGCCCGGTACTCCAGCTTATATTGTGAAGGTTTGTTTTATGTCTCTTTTATAATGTTTGAGCAAGTCCTTTATATCATCTGACTGAGTGATGATTAATTGAACGATTCTCTGGTGATGATTCAGGCTTTTCTGCCAGTGATAGAATCATTTGGATTTGAGACAGACCTGAGGTACCACACGCAAGGACAAGCCTTTTGCCTTTCTGTGTTTGATCACTGGGCCATAGTGCCAGGAGACCCTCTCGACAAAGCCATCCTCTTGCGCCCGCTTGAGCCCGCCCCTATTCAGCATCTAGCTCGTGAATTCATGGTCAAGACCCGCCGTAGAAAGGTAATATTCTTGAACTTGTTTTAAAGCATATGCCAAAAACTTTTATGCAGTTTCTGATTAGAATGAAACCGTAACCTGTTCACACGAAACAAAGAAGCAATAAATATAGGACTCTGGTGTTGTTGAAGAGACCCCAGAAAACTCTCACAAACCACAATTGGCCCCAAAACTCACCAAAACAATCTGCTGCATACAGTGCTCATTTTCTTTCCTTGATTACTCTCAATGTCTCACTATCTATTGTGTTGAATTTGCAGGGAATGAGCGAAGATGTGAGCGGCAACAAGTTCTTTGATGAGGCAATGATGGTCGAGCTTGCGCAGCAGACGGGGGATCTTCATCTGCAGATGATGTGATCATCGCTTTGGTTTTGCATATCATTGGTAAACTTTTGTAGGATCACTTTGCATGTTAATGGTGAGCTTTTGCAGGACTAGTAGTCTTATCTTTACATATATGTCAAAGTACAAAACAAGAGAATGTGTTGTAGTGAATGTTGTCACCACTTCATTTTGAGATCAAAATTTTTTCTATGATTGTCAAATTTACGTTTAGAGTGATGTTTTTAATGAACTGCATATGGTCGCACAAACATTTTGACGAGAACATATTCACAAATCTTTACAAATTTATAAAGTGTTTGTGAATATCTTATACACCGTTAAATTCGTAATCTGTAAGATAGGAGCTTTGTAACTCAAAAGGTAAGGTATATTAATTTACTTTAATATAGCCCGGTTACTATATAAATTCGAAAAAGGTTCTCTTAAATGTTTTAAAGATGGCACTTTTTCCTTTTTACTATAAATCAGAAAGCTGTAACTGATCATATGTTTATCACTGTCGTGTCACTCTCTTTTCCTCCTTGCAATACAGATTCCTTCACTTTTTCCTCTGCCACATCTCAAAACATTAAAGTTTCAAAACCAAACAAAGGAGGGACATATTGGTTGATTTTTTTGGCAATTATAATGGTTGAGTATGTCACATTATCTCATCTAATACTAACTGAT